CCCGAGCCCGGCCGTCCTCCCGGCCCCAGCTCGCCAGGAGCCTCCCGACCTCCCTGCCCAGAGCCGCTCCCGGGGCGAAGGCTCTGTCCTCTCCTCCCTGATCTACAGCTTGCTGTCTCACGCTTGCCATGGGGAAGCTGCTGCAGGAGGAATAAAATTCACTGGGATTTTGCAGGTTGGCAGCTCAGTCAGCCTACGTGGGTGTTTTGCCCCTTGCTCCTCTTTGGCCACCCCGAGCCCTTCCAGCACCAGCGTGGACTTGGCTGCCCAAGGCACGATCTCCCCGGCCACCCGCCTCTCCCAGCAAGAGAAGCCAGGGCAGAAGAGAGAGGGAAGCGCACGAGGGAGCACCAGCACAGCTCGCTGCTGCCAACCCCCTCTCGCACTCGACGGTCCCTGCATGACAGCGATGTGTAGCACGGTCCTGACCCGTTTATCAGCACCAAAACCCCCAAGCGCTCCGAAACGACACCAAGCTTTAACCACGGGTCACCGCTTGACTCCAGCGAAGAAATTCCACTGTAACCACTGCGACCCATCCCTTGCCACCTCCGACGGGCACGGTACGTCTGCACCTCCTGCCCTGACACCGCAGCACGGTGCTCCTGTACCGGCCCTGCCGGGGTCAGCCCCTCCTCGACCCGCAGCGGCTCTGCCCGCCCGGCTCCCAGCAGCTCCCAGCGGCTCCCAGCAGCTGGGGCGCGTGGGGTGAAAGGAGCAGTGTCTCGCCGAACAACGGCCACTTTCACGCCAAGCGCCGTTGACACAGTGAGAACCCAGTTCCTCTCTAAACACGACACCAAAAGGGCTGCTGTTCTTCTTGTTTCCTCAGCCCCACTTCACAGCTTTTCCCAAAACAAAAATTGCACGTGGATGCGCGGGGCTGGGGATTTTTTCTCGCCGAGACGAAGTCCGTGGGAAGGGCACAGGGCTCAGCTTGGGGTATGCTGAGAGCAAAGCAGCTCTTAGCTCCGGGAGCTGGAACCGAGGGCATGCAAGAGGCCGAGCCAGGTACGCCGGGCACGCACTGAGCCTGTGACGGCTGTGAAGAGCTTCAGAACCAGAGAAGAGAAATGCAGGGTGATGGAAAAGCACAGAGGTGTAAAGCAAGGGCTTGGGATTGATTCTTCGCTGCAAAAGGCATCCGCGGTGCCCTCCTGGGGTCTCGTCTGTATTTGGTGGCTGCACACCACATGGCTTTTACCTGCTTTGCTTCTCCCCTCTAAGCACTGCACAGACCTGATGGCAGCACAGGAGCAAGCCCCCAGCCCGGTGGCAGGCACCTCCTCCCCGGGGTTGGGACACGGACCCGCACCCCTCCCGAGGAGCCGGAATCTCCCAGGGCAGACATCAGCATCACCCTGCTCCCAGATGGGAGCCCAGGAGCAAACGTGTGTTTTCCAAACCCAACGGGCAGCCCCGTGGGAGTCACCGGCCACTGCAGGACGCAGCCAGGGAGGGCACCCGCTTTCCCCTACAGTCTGCCCAGCGCGTTGGCGGGATGGCTCTCACCCGGAGGTCAGGACAGCCCCGAAGTCACCAGGTATTGCCGATCCCCCGCCTCTTACCCACGATGCGAGGCTTGGCAGGATCTCTCCCTGTGATTTATATGCAGCTCAGGGCTTGTTTCATGTTTGTGAGGAGCTGGATGCTCTCACAGGGCTCTATAAATAACAGAGTATTTGAATTATATGAATAACAGTTCGTTACAGATGGTTTTATGTTAGGCATTTGGGTTCTTTTCCTGCTCAGAAGCTGTGGCTTCTGCACATGATAATCTTTTAAAAATCACACAGAAATTTTGAACAATGCCTAGAGTCGCAGGTTTCCAGCCCAAGTGGGACCATTGGATCCTGCCTTTGTAACGCCTCAGACGCAGGGCAGGCAGCTTCCCCCGCTCACCTCTCTGCAGTGCTGGGTGCCCGGAGCAGAGCTGGCAGAGGCGCGAGGCTGGGCTGGGCTGCCCGGTCCGAGCAAGCCCAGCGTCAGGGCAGCAGAGCCCGAGGGTGCCTCTGGGTCAGCCCTTCGGTAGCCCTGCGGTCCCTGCCTGGAGGAAGGTCTAGGACTTCAGGGAAGAATAAACCATCTGCTTTTCTCCACCACTTATGCCCGTGACACTGAAATTCACCCTTCATAAAAATGAATGCCAGAAAATTTGCATTGCTCCAATACCCAAGTAACTGCTTAAATGAAGGAGTTCAAAAACATTATGAACAGAAGGCATTTAAATATCTGTATGCATGAAAAAGGCTGGGGGTTTTTGCAGTATTTGTCCAGCTCTCACAGTACTAACGCATAACTGCCCATCCTTACCCTCCACAATCCAAACATCGAAAATATTCCAACCCTTTAAAGAATATGTTTCGTTTCAATGGAAAAACAAGAGAAATACCATTAAGAATAGGATATATCCATATATTATCCCACAGCTATCATGAACACGGAAGACTGAAAGCTCTGTTTCCTTCGGAGACAGCACAGAAGTAAAGCTCAGCTGCCCTCACTCTTCCTGACGGCAGGCTGGAAGCACTCTCTTGCCTTTAGGTATTTTTAAACTGTTCTCTGCCAGCCTAATTATCATTACGAGACCAAAGCATTTGTGCGTGTGAACTGCTGCGCTGGGGAGAGAAGCCGAGGAACACCAATGCCTCACGTGGAAACAGAAACAACGCGGGTCAGGATGGGGGACAGTGGCCTCCCACATCCAGTAACTTCTCCCCATGCCCCCTTCAGCCAGGGACTGCCCTGAAGCAACAGAAGAAAGGGCGGCTGGAGGCAAAGAGGCAGCTGAAAAGGAAGGGAACAGTAAGAAAATGAGACACAAAAGCGCTGACAGGAAAACCAGCAGAAAGAAAAAGAGAAGACAGCAGCAGGATTTCTGA